CTACTTTGTCCATGTTCTACAGACTCAGGGGTCTATGCAGAAGTCACAGAATGGCTTCAAACTTGCACAGCTGCTCAGAAAGGGGAAAGAAAAATTTAGTGCCCATCAGAGTCATTTAAAAAGGAACCAAGTAACAAGCTGAAGTCCTGTTTGTCATTTAGAATGAACCCGGGCCTGATGATCAATTGTTTTCTAGGATTTCTGGTAAGAAAGATGAAAAGAATCAGCCCAAGAGTCAAAGAAATTACAGCTGGACCAATTCTTTTCTAAAACCTCAGTCCACTATAGGATCCTTCTTCCATAATGCCTCCCAGGTTGGGGTTGAAAGAGTGGCAATATTTAAGCAGTAACACCTCATCCCTTCATCCAGCTCTCTAAACTCTATCTGAAATCAAGTCTTAGAGTCTCCTTTAGAAAATCATCCATATAGTATGTTGTTTGGTGCTGCATACCTGCAATCCCAGCATTTTGAGGCAAAGGCAGGATAGAGTTTGAGATCAACCTAGACTTGTAATACTGTCCAAAAGAAAAAGAAAAAGAAGGAGTGGGAGAAAACCAGTCTATGATAAAGGGTTTCAGCAAACCTGAAACTGGTACCTTTATTTTGCCTAGCATGAAACTTTTGTTTTAAAGTATGTTGAAGATCCAGTATAAAAACTCACAATGGTTAAGTGTCTAATAATAAATCTTGATTATTTGTGAATATAACTGTTTAGTTTTATTTTTTTTTAATTCAGCTCTCTGACCTTGAAACTGTTATTTTGCTACTGTAGACTGTGATGTAAATTAAGGCATTTCTATTCTTATTTCAGTCTGCTGCATAAAGTAAGTATATGCTTTTGAAAGTCAGCTGACAGGGCTGGGAAGGTGGCTCAGTAGTAGAGCGCTTGCCTTGCATGCTCGAGGCCCTGAGTTCGATTCCTCAGCACCACATAAGCAGAAAAAAAAAAGCCGGAAGTGGCACTGTGGCTCAAGTGGTAGAGTGCTAGCCTTGAGCTGAAGAGCTGAGGGACAGCACCCAGGCCCAGAGTTCAGGCCCCATGACTGGACCCCCCCCCCCAAAAGAAAGTCAGCTGACAATCTAATGTTGGTTGCACTTTTAACTACAACAAATCTATACTTCTGCAGCTTTATTTCATTATTATTTGACTAATACATTTTAAAACTTATCAAGAAAAATGTAAAATTATAGTTCTTATAGTTTCCAGTTTCAACAACAATACTCTAGCATTTATATAGAAAGTGATTCATATAGAAAGTGATCCTAAAGATCACTAAATTGCTTATTGCATTAAACTTAACATAAATATAACTGTACAATTTGTCATTGTAAACATTATTTTGAAAGCAGACCTTTCACAAGCTACATCATCTTAAACACTGGACTTTATAGTCTGGACTTCTTACAGAAACAAAGACTTATTCTATAGAGAGCATCGCATGTTTTTCTAGAGCTAAAATGATACTGCGAAAAAGCAAAATCCTGCTACCAGAATTATAACAATATTTCTGATTTTAAGTATTAAAAATGAATACATTGAAGGTGAAACCTTTTCTTAAAAATAAAGCTTCTGTTATATTTAACCCACTTTCACACAGTTTTTCTTAATTACACTACAGCTGTCTGGTAAGGCACAACTGACTACTTCCATCATGAAAACAAACTGTACCCTACCATCTAAAGTTCTCGATTAAAAAGCAAGGGTTTTTGTGAGCCCAGAGAAAACGGGTGCAGCTGCTCCATTTCACGAGGCAGGCACCTCTAGTCCATTCAGCTGTGAAGAATGGCAATGACTGTAAATTGTTCTTCCTGATCGGTTCCACAATAAAAACAAACCACACTACTTTCAATTTTTCAAAGCCAATTTTTTTAAGCCTCCAGTACATTGGAAACAAGAGTTGTGTTCTTCTGATTCATGGCCTTTGATTTCTACATAAACGTCCCTGTATGCATGTAAAAACAGGTCCCTGCAGGATACTCACAGACTGTATATATTAACTTACCAGATGTACCAGAAGATAGAAACGCCATCAGCCTACCTTTTAAAGCAAGATACTCTTTAACAGCTTAAACTGCCTGTGACTAAAGGATGACTGCAAAGAACATACGGTATGTGGGGAAGCATTAGGTAGTTCATGAGAAACTTCAGCATGTTCACAGAAAGTGCAACAAATGGTTTTTGAACTTGTATAGTAACAGTCTCTACTAAAATCCATAGTATTAAATTGAGGTCAAGGCACACATCTGCATTTTGCAACTAAAACACTTGAAATCTGATAACAGTCAAAATAATTGATGATACAGCTTTGTTAAGAAATTCTAAATGCTCCCAACTTAGCTCCAATAGTTAAACTTGAGATCTCCAAAGTATTTTTCTTTAATCATATACTTAGCAATTAAAAATATTGAGTATGTCTCACCTATACTTACTCCTCTATATTTACATAAATCATACATAATCTGCTTACTTACAAACATGAGCACTGTACTAATATGTAATACACATTTGAAACATATGTGAAAGTAGACAATTGTTAAGAATGGACTAGAAATAATTCACAATAAAGGTTTTAAGACTTTGCACATTTCTAGAAAGTACGTTCAAATGGCTCCTGGCACACCACTTCCTTCCTTCCCACCCATGTGCATCCTAAGTGCCAAGCTATATCTTGAATGCCTGTGGATGAATTCTTTCATTCACATTCTCTGAATACTGATTCTGTAAATTTTACCTTTGCTATCAAAGTTTTATTTTTCGTGGAAAACTAAAGATATAAAATTTATAATAGTTTTAATTCAGACTCATAATGAGGATTGCAATGGAACTTAAATGTTATCAAACAAGGAAAATAAACAAAACAAAAAGACCAGGTCTATAAGTCCCTCCCTTACTTCAATGAAAAACTGCTGATATGAAGCTGCCAAAGGTTCCTCAAAACCACAACCAAAATCACCTAAACGACAAATAGGTTCCTTATGAAAACAACATCTAGAAGCTGCTTCAAGTAACTGTACCCTCTAACCATGCTGGCCTTTTCCATAAGTCACCTGCTGATAATTTACCTTCCTAGAACATCTACAAATCCATTCTTTCCTGAAACCTTAGCTATATGTATTTCAGACAAAAGAGTTCTCCAAGTAACAGCTCCTTGTTTTAACCAGTCCCTATAAAAGGCAATGCAAATGATACATTCTGAGTAAATACCACTTGTACCAGTTTTTGCAAAAAGCAAAACAATCATTTTTTACACACATGTGAACACACATGTGTGTGAACACAACACAAATATACCTCATGCTTGTCTTGTTTCTCCTCACTTGATCAGCCACTCCACCAATGAGCTGGGTACAAAGTAGGCACTCCATAAGCATTTGTTTGGGGAAGGGATCAAACAAAGCAAAACCCACCCTGATCTGCTTCTCAGTCAAGTGAAGAGGAAGGCACAATAGGTATTCACTGTGTGTAATAAAATAAATGTGAAATATTACTAATGAAGTCCTTTTCATAACACATCCATTCTAAAATTGAAAACACAATTCTCTAAAGTTCTCTAAAATATTTCTAAAATAGAAAATAAACTTAAAACAAAAACAACATAAAGAACACTTGTTTTTGAAATGTTTGTGGAAGCTAAAGTCCTGAATTAAAAGAGTCCTGAATTAAAAGAGCAGATGTATGGAATGTTCACTATGTCTACTATTTCACTTACCAGGTTGCCCTGAAATAAGTGTCTGAGATTCATTCTGACTGGTGTGCCCAAATGTGTAAATTACGCACACATAAATGCTAAACTTCTGGATAAAGCAGTAAAAGATCACTACTCATTCAGCAATTCTTGATTCAGTCCTCACACTCCAATCAGCTCCATCCAGTACACACAGATGCAAAAGAACTAATTAATTGTTGAATGATTAATTCAATAAACATTTCCTAATAAATTAAAATTTTTGGATATTGAGGAAATACAAAGATGAATAAATAAGAAGGTCACAGTCTGGGGAAAGAGGAAAGCATCGTTAAAATATGTACATAATTATTAAATACATCATAGTAAGAGCTCTAATACATTTGTACATTCACTCAACCATTATGTTGAGGACCTAGCAATTAAAAAAATGGAAACAACAAAAATAATATCAAAGAGCTGAATTAATAAATGATCAAACAAAATGAAACAAAAACTGAGGGCAGGAGTCCTCAAGACAATTCAGCTGAACCTTGGAGGATGAACAGAAATTTATGGGCAATAGAAGAATAGTAGTGTATGTCCAGGATGCAAACTGCAGAGATAGGAAGATGGAGGTGATACTACCTCAAATGCCCTTCCATTAGACTCTGAGAAAAGAGAAAAATCTTTCTAAAACTGTGAGGGCGAAAAAATTAGGTTTTCTTTTATGAAAAAAAATGAAGGCCACTTTTGTGTTTTTGTTTTCTAAAAAAAATAAAATTTTGTAGGCAATAATTTTGACTAATATTTCACTTTAATTTGGATGAACCTGCCAAGTACTAGGTAACTAATAAACGAGTAAGTAAGCAAACAAAATTAAGAACTGAAACAAATTAATACATAGGCCACTATATGTCAGAATTACGTTTAATGGGGAAAAAGTATTTTGAAGGTAGACTAGTTCTGAATAAGGAAAAAAAATCATAATGAAAAAAGTCAGCATGTATGTTTCCCTTTTTTCCTTTCTTTTTTCTTTCTTACCTTCCTTCCTTTCTTCTTTCTTTCTTTCCTTTTATTTGCTTCTTCTAATTCTTTTAAAAATATTTATTATGTAGGGCTGGGAAGGTAGCTCAGTGGTAGAGTGCTTGCCTTGCATGCCTGAGGCCCTGGGTTCGATTCCCCAGCACCACATAAGCAAAAAGGAAAAAAGCTGGAAGTGGCGCTGTGGCTCAAGTGGTAGAGCGCTAGCCTTGAGCTGAAGAGCTGAGGGACAGCACCCAGGCCCAGAGTTCAGGCCCCACGACTGGACCCCCCCACACAAAAATAATATTTATTATCTTAAATATGACACAAATTTGTGTGTCATCTTTGCACAAGGGCCATGCTAATCTTCTCTGCATTGTTACATTTTAGCATATGTGCTGCCAAAATAAACGCCAGCATGTTCCCTTTAATACTCATAGTATGTAATGTGTATGTCAGAAATTAATATATCTACAAGAAAGCAAATTACTAAAAGTGGAAAAAGGCAAGAAAGCCTGACAGAGGCTGTCAGCCAGATTGCTTGAGATCTCATTTAACATTGCCTCCTGGAATCTTGAGCAAGTGACTTAATCTCAGCTCCTTTATATATGGAGTTACAATAACATCATCAACTTCAAAGAAACATTTTGACGGTTAAACTCAATGATACATGCAAAGGTCTTAAAAATAGTATTTTGCCCATAAGCATTAACTGTTATTGAAGTAGCAGTGGTCATCACTGCCATTATATCCTGGGACTAAGTACTGTATCCATATTAGCCTCTAAGGATCTCCTGGAAAAAAATCTTTAGCTACTTATTAACTCTATGAAAATGCTGTTGTGCAGTACTAATGCTCTAGAGTTGAAGGTAAAATAAATATTAGCAATGCAGATTGTTTAATCTTACTTTTGGCTAAGAGCTTAATTTCTTGGAATGCTCACTATTCATAATAAAGTCATGCCCATACACACTCATGTCATCTTTAGGGGGTGAAAGGATTGTGAAAGGCACAACTTGAATCATTTGTCTGAAACATTTCTTCAATCTAGAGGTTCTGTAAAAGCAGAATGAGGAAGCAGGCCTATAGAATCCACTAGAATATGAACCCCAGTAAGCGAAATGAAGGCGTTTGTCCTGTTCACCATTGTGTCACCAACATCTAGGTCTGTGCCTGAAACAAGGCATAATATAAATATTGTGTTTCCAAATTAATGTCTAAACATACAAATGATCAAATAGGAAATTCTAGATATAGTAATGAAAAAATGAGTGTTAGGAAAGTTTTCAAAACAATCACATCTTTGAGCTTCAAATGAAATGTTGAGTTTACTCTCAATATTAACCAGCTTACAGTATCAAAGGAAAGAAAAAATTAAGCACCTTAGAGAAGCTGGTGGTGATTGCCTAAAGAGAATTACATGTTTTCCACCAAAGCCGCACCTGCACCATTTAGAATAATCAATTCAACAAGAAGCAGTTATGAATATATAAATTATAAGGGGAGCAGGGGTTCCTTTATTATGCAGTAACAGCAAGTGTTTCCTGCACTTGCACCTGGTATACTACTTCTAAACTACATGAGAACCTATTTTATTCATGACTGTAAGGTCTGCTCCTGGATGGGGAGCAGACTCCACCCTCCTCGCAGCAAAGTCTCCGCCCAGTTACTTTCATTACCTAGGCAACTGGCACACCTGGAAGAGGTCATATCTGCATCCGATGAGGTCACATCTGAATTTGATGTGGCCACACCTTTCTCCACCTATACCCTAAATAAGGCCTAGCCCAGGCCTAGATGCTCTTTTCTAGCTTTTTTCTCAGCTCTTTTTCAGCTCTTTCCTTCTCTTCTCTTTCCCAGCTCTCATTCCCAGGCCTTTCCCAGCCATGTGGAGGGCCAACATGGCCTGGTGCCAGCCAGAACGATGAATAAACCTACCCCTTACCTGAATACCACATGTGTGGTGCTGTTCTTACTCGGCTAACTCTTTTTAAAAACCTAACAATGACCAAGTTTGAAACCTGAGGTAATATCAATTTATTGATCAAATGAACTTAATGTTAAACAGTAAAAGTTTTATTTCCAAGTATAAATAGCCTGAAAATGTAAGTAATAAATATTATGTCAAGGGACATGTCTTGGATAAGCAACAACTTAAAATATATTTTTGAAAATTGATTGATGGAACTAATCACCTATGTCCCTCTGGAGGAAAAAAAAAAGTGTCTGCTGCTTATTTGAAAGGTTGCTCCATTATAATAACTACCACTGCTTCATTTGTTCATCCTTTGTCCCTCCATTTCTGTGTTGCCCATACCTTCCCAAAGACAGATACACAAACAAGACAAAAAGGAAACAAAAAGAACTCATTTCCATTTCCTGCTCCAGTATAATCCCATGTCATAGCACACTCACTGTCACAATTTTAGTAAAGTAAGAAAACTGTCACAGTTGAGTTCTAACTACTACATCTAAATTCTAATTTAAGAGTCTATCTGAGGGGCTGGGAAGGTGGCTCAGTGGTAAAGCACTTGCCTTGCATGCCTGAGGCCCTGGGTTCGATTCCTCAGTACCACATAAGCAAAAAGAAAAAAGCCAGAAGTGGTGCTGGGACTCAAGTGGTAGAGTGCTAGCCTTGAGCTGAAGAGTTGAGGGACAGCTCCCAGGCCCAGAGTTCAGGCCCCATGACCAGACTTCTCCCCTCCATTCCCCCCCCCTGCCCCCGCAAAAAAAAAAGTCTATCTGAAACAAATGTTCTGAATCTGACTAAAGTTATTTTTCTATTATTAGAATGATATGTAACTAAGGAGACTGGTGTTCAACCATTTATTACATGCTTGAGAATTTCCTTGGCTAAGTTTAGTAAGTATGTTCCCAAAGAAAAATATCCCGGGGATGGATGAGGGGAAGTCTTCTAAAGTTTTAGAAGGACATTTTAGTTTTAGCAAATAAAATAGATACGTACGGATGAATACGCCTGTAAGAATCCCAGGCTCACTTCTAATTAGCAGCTCCTTTTCTCTCCTATCTTCAAGAAGCTCATCTCATCGTTCTATTCTACCACCAGATCTTCAGGATACTCACACCAGTCTTTCTCCTCTGCTTTAAGTACACTGTGTTCTGCAGCGCTCTTCAATGTTGCTACTGACTTCCTTCCTCGGATTCATCTGTTAGGTTAAATGTACACCACCTCTGGACTTCCATTTTATTTAACTGTTATAATCAGTCTCAGACAATTGAAAGCCATGTGGACAGGGCTCTTCTCTATCTTGCTTGCTCTTATCTATCTTGCTTACTACATATTATATTCCCACACTCTAGCACAATGCTTAGAATCAGATCAATAAATATTTATGAAATATATGAATTATCAGCCAACCATAATTGTTATTCATAACAAGAATGCGAGTTTTACTAGGTGCTGATTGCTGATACCTGTAATGCTAGCTATTCAGGAAGCTGTGACTATGAATTATGAGGTTCAACATCATCTCCAATCATCCAGCAAAATGCTGGTCTGGAGGCATGGCTCAAGGTGGTAGAGTGCCAGCCATAAGTAAGAAAGCTCAGTTAAGAGCCCTAGGCCCTTGAATTTAAGCCCTAGTACTGGAAAACCTCTCTCTCTCTCTCTCTCTCTCTCACACACACACACACACACACACACACACACACACACACACACACACACACACACACACACACACACACACACACACACACACACACCTCATTTACAGTCCTCAGTACAAGCCTAACCCTGACACAGAAACAGAAGTTAGGGGAAAAACAAAGGAGGGGGTAGCAATGCTCGATAGGAAATGAGCTCATTACCTTGCTCATGTAATTGTAATCACTCTGTACAGCATATATATATATTTTTTTAAGAAATGATAAATGAGTACATAAATAAAACTTTAAAAACTACAGTCTCTAATTTAAAGAGGCAAATTTTAGGGTTTTAGTATGAAATTATAAAATTATTAAATATTCTTTATAGTTTATATCTTTTCATAAGGTTTTTTATAAACTAGTACAGAATGTAAATTTTATCTAAATTAGTTTCTGAGACAATCAGGATTTTATTAAATATTATTATTTAGCACAAGAATATTCTGCTAGCACTGAAGGGAGTATTTCAAGGGAAAGATTTTAAGACCCGTTGCGTATTTCACTGGTAAAGAGAGAGACCAACAAATAGTAAAGTGTTAAGTGACAGGCTATGAGTGAGAGTTAAATTTAATTCCAGTTTTGATCAATAAGAATGTTGTCCTCACTGGTATTAAGAAGAAATCTGTGTTTTGTTGCTTTTTTTTTAAATTGTTGGTAGGGAACACTAGGAATAGGACTTTAATCACCTACATGTGAGAAGTCAAAACATCGTGTTTATCTATACATAAAAAAATAAGAGTCATATTAAGAATGAGAGCAAAAAAATGTCATCACTAGTAGGCAGTGACAGATGAAGTATAAGTACAATCAACACCAGGACAGAATAGCAGGTATACACAGGGAAGGAAGTGCTTTGAAAACAAACAGCAGGCAAGTTGCTGAGATAAGAGGTAACACAGTCAAAGAAATTTTAGATGCCTAGATCAAAAGGGGTGCTAAGAGAAAGGGCAGAGTTCCTTGGCAAGGACATCTGGAGTGTTCCTGAGTGTATACACTGAGCCACAGATTGTAAACAATGAGGCAGAGTAATCTAACCAGTACAGACAACAGTAGAAATATGATCTCATTGTTAAAACACGCTGTTTCCAATCATTTGTGGCACTGTTACCTACTGGAGTTTTTCATGAAATCCAAATTATTTCAAGTAATCCAGTTTCCACCGTTGCCTTAAAATGCAATTTCACAATGTGTACAATTGGCCTAGTTACTATGAAAGAGTTCATACTATCCCACCCTTCCAAGGTTGCTCATCTTAATCTAAGCAAACTGTCTCAAAGAGTTTGTATCTAAGTAATAACTTGGTATAGTTTTATTTCTTAACCAAAGTAAAAAAAAAATCTCACTTTAAAATGTTATTTTTATTAAGTCAATTATTCTCTTTTGGCAGTTACTGAAGTACTCTAGGGATAAAACTCTAGAGATAAAACCCAGAACTTCACTGGGCTTTGGTGGCTCACACCTGTAATCCTAGCTACTCAGGAGGCTGAGATTTGAGGATCGTAGTTCAAAGCCAGCCTGGGCAGGGAAGTCTGTGAGATTCTTATCTCCAATTAACCACTAGAAAACTGGAAGTGGCAGCTGTGACTCAAGTGGTAGAGTGTTTGCCTTGAGCTGAACAGCTGAGGCCAGTGCCCAGGCCCAGAGTTCAAACCCCATGACTGACAAAAAAAAACAAAAACAAAAACCCAGAACTTCACATATGCCACACAAATGTTCTACCAATGAGCCATACCCTAAGTTCCAAA